AGCATTCCATTGTGTGTATGTACCATGGTGTGTTTATTCATTCATTAATGGGCACTTAGGCTACCTCCATCTTTTTGGCATTGTGAATAGTGCTGTAATAAACATTTAGTGTGCGTGTATCTACTTGTGTTTTGGCTTGTATTTCTTGTGGATATATACCAAGTAGAGAAATTGGATCATAAGGTATTTCTATTTCCAACGTTCTAAGGAAGTGCCATACCATTTCCCAGAATGGTTGAACCATTTTCCAGTGTCACCTGCAAAGTAGCAAGGTGATCCCAGTCTCTCCACATCTTTGCCAGCGTTTGCTATTACTACTATTTTTTTTTTCTCAAAACTTCTCCATTAATGCTAGTTTGAGATGATAATTGCATTATTGTTTTGGTTTGCACTGGACTTCAAGGTCAGTTTGAACTGCAAGGTTTGCAGTTCAAACTCACCAGTTGCGCCTTGGAAACCCTATACAGAGTCGCTATGAGTCAACCGACTATGGTACTTAGAGAACGACAAAAACGGTGGCTAGTAATGATCATGAACATTGTTGGCTACCTGAATGTCTTCCTTGGTGAAGTATCTGTTCATGTTCTGTGCCCATTTTTAAAGTGGGATATTTGTCTTTTTCTTGTAGAAATAGTGTAATTTCCTATACATTTTGGAGACTAGTCTCTTGTGTGTGATATGTCATTGCAAAACTTTTTCCCATTCTGTGAACTCCCTTTTTACTCTTTTGGAGAAATTTTTGATGCATATAAGATCCTAATTTTTAGTATGTGCCAATTATTTATTTTGTCTCCTATTGTTTGTGGATTTTTTTTTTTTGCCATATTTGATAGCTGTGTATGACAAATATTAGAACCTTTAAGTTTGTCCCTGTTTTTTCATTGATGATCATTATAGTTCTACGGTTTACATTTAGATCTTTAATCCATGTTGAGTTAGTTTTTGTATATGGTGATGATGTGGGTCTTGTTTCATTCTTTTGCCGATTGATTTCCAATTTTGCCAGTACCATTTTTTGAAAAGACTATCTATTCCCCATTTAATGTAATTTGGCCCTTTGCTCAGTTGGCTATAGGTGGATGAGTTAACTTCTGGCTTCTCAATTTTATTCCGTTGATCTATGTATCTTTCATTGTACCATTACCAGACTGTTTTGACCACCGTGGCCGTGTAGTAAATTTTGAAATCAGGCAGTTAGAGACCTCCAACTTTGTTCTTTTTCTTAAGCAGTGTTTTGCTTATTCTAGGCCTCTTTCCCTTCCATATAAAGTTCAGGATAGTTTTTTCCTTCTCTTTTTAAGAATGTTGTTGGAATCGGGATAGGGATTGTATTGCATCTGTAAATTGCTTTGGGTAGTATTGACATTTTCACAATGTTAAGGCTTTCTATCCATGATCATGGCATATTCTTTCATTTTTGTAAATCTCTCTAGGTTTCTTTAGGTGACCATTGTAAATGGTATTGTTTTCCTAATTTCCTTTTCTGAACTGTCTTTATTAGTATGAAGAAATTCAACTGATTTTTATATGTTGATCTTGTACCCTGCCACTTTGCTGAACCTTCCTATTAGTTCTAGTAATTTATTTGCTGAGTCTTTGGTATTTCTTATGTATAGGATGATATTATCTGCAAATAGAGTTTTACTTCTTTGCCAATTTGGAATCTTTTAATTTTCCTACCTTACCTTAAAGCTCTGGCTAAGACTCAAACATAATATTGAATAGAAGTGATAATAGGCATTCTTGTTCATGTTTGCAAAGGGAATACTTTTGATTTTCTCTCCATTGAGCATGATGTTGGCTGTTGGGTTTGTATATATGCTCTTAATTATGTTGATGAATTTCCCTTCAATTTCTACTTTGTTGAGTTGTTTTTATCAGGAATGGGTGTTGGATTTTGTCAAATGCCTTTTCTGCATTAATCGAAATGATCATGTGGTTCTTTTCTTTTTTAAAATTGTAGCGTATTACAATGATTTTTTTCCTAATATTGAACCATTTTGCATCTCTGTTATGAATTTACCTTGGTATATCTTTTTCCAACCTTTAATTTTCAGTGCTTTTGTTTTTTTGTGTTTATATGTCTCTCTTGTAAATAGCATGTTGAAGGATCCTGTGTTGTTTTTTTTTTTTTTAAATATCCATTCTGCTTCTTTCTTTCTCTTGACTAGTGCATTTAATCCATTGACATCCAGTGTAATTATCGATAGATATGGATTAATTGCTATAATGCTGTTTTTTTGGTACTGCTAGTTTCTTTGTTCTGCATGCTTTCCTGGGCTGAGTTCCTTTTTTTGTGTGCTTTTTGTTGTCAATGTCTTCAGTGTTTTAATGTTTTCAAAATCATCTCAGATTTTCCTTTTCTTGCTTTGATGTGGAGATAGTGGTTATCTTTGGGGTTACCCTGTACTTTATTAATTTCTTCCCCCTATTAAAATAATCTCTTTTATCCTGAGGTCTACTTGACCTCCTCCCAGCCTCGATCTGTTACTATACTTTCTCATTCTTTTTGCTTTGTAATTGTCCTAAGTGCAGACTGATGTCCCAGATCCCGTAATTTCATTCTTGTGGTTTTGTTCTGCTCTGGCCTCTTACGTATCTTGTTGACTGTGAGTTCCAGAGAACTCACTTTAGTATGTCTAGAAGTGCTGACTTGGCTTTCACAAAATCCCTCAATTTCTGTTTATCCTGAAAAGTTCTGATTTCATTGTCATATTTGATTGACAGGTTTGCTGAGTATATGATTCTTGGCAGTTTTTTTTTCTTTCAGAGTTTTGTATATGTCTCCCCATTGCCTTCTTACCTACATGATTTCTGCTACTGAGAAATCAGAGCTTACTCTTACTGGCTCTTCTTTGTATGTAACACTTCCTTTTTTATATAGCTCCTTTCAGGATTCTTTGCTTGATTTTGAAGAGCTTGATTATGATATATCATGGTGATTTTCTTTTGGAGTTTGTCCTGGGTTTGTTCTGAATGTGTATCGTCTCGTCCTTCATGATATTAGGGAAATTTTTTTTCAGCAGCTCTTCAGTGATCTCTTCTGAGGTTTTCTTTGTCTTGTTCTGGAATTCCAGTCACCCATAGGTTATTCCTCTTCATGTTGTCCCACATAAATCTTAGGCTTTCTTTAGAGTTTTTTTTTTTTTTTTTTTATGCTTCTTCTATCTTAGCAGCATCAAGAGATTAATCTTCAAGCTTGCTGACTCTGGCTCCCATCCCTTCAATTCTACTCCTTTGCTCTTTCAGTGTATTCTCCATTTCTGACATTTTAGTATTAATCATCTGGACTTATTGCAAGTTTCGTATTGTCTTCAATGTTTCATCTAATTTGCTTAATTGTTCCTGTAGCACTTTCCTGACTTCTTTAATTTCCTCTACCTCTTTGTAGAACATTTGGATGCACTTTAATATCATTCTGAATTTTTTTTCAAGTAATTCCAAAGCTTCTCACTCGAAGCAACTTTTAGGTCTTCATCTTAGTCATTTGTTTGAGCTACTCTTGTCATTTTTCTGTACATGACCAGAGATTTTCTGCTTTTTTGGCATTATGGTTTTGTTTAATTTGTCTTAAATAGGTGTATGTATGTTGGTGTATTGTTACGCACGTTCCCGTTGCCTTCTGGTAGTTGTGATCAGATGGGCTTCTCTGTTCACTGCTCATCTGGCTCACTATAGAGTGTTTTCAGCAGGTGTTGATTGTAGATGCTACTCTGGTATGCAGCAACTAGTTTGACTCTTACCCAAATGGTGGGGTTTTTTTCCTTCTTAGAGGGTGCAATTGCAGTTTGGCTGTATGGCCGTAGATGCAGTTTCCTTTTGAGTGTGGCAAGTAGAGAGAGCACTCCCCCAAGACAGAAGGAAGCCCAAAGAATAAGACTTAAAATGAAAGTCATAAACACCCTGGAGATATATATATATATATATCGACAATAAATTGGAGTACTTGTCTAGTGCCACCTAATGGACTCTTGCCTTCAAAGCCACCTGAGAAATATGACAATAGTTCTGCTGTACATCTCTTATCTAGCACCAGTTTTTCTTTTTATCTTTTTTCCTCTCGTCAAGTCTTTTCAGGTTAATCCTCTACACGCTGCTTCGGCAGAACCCTCCGTGCACAGATCCATCTGCATGACTGGACCTAAGAGCCCTCTGCTGGCAGACCATAGATCCCTCCAGGGGTGGGTTACAGAACCCACTGGGCATTGGTTCCCCTACCCCCTGGGTGCCAGCTGCAGAACCCATCAGTTGCTGGCCACAGAACCTTCCCTGTGGGTGTCTACTCGTAATGGTTTAAGAAAAGGAGTCCATGGAAAGAAAAAGAAAAAAGAAAGAAAAAAATTCTTGCACCTATGTTCTTTGCATATTGCTAGCAGGTTTCTATAATGGTAGTGGTCTCTTATTTCTCTCCTCTCATTCCCATTCAAAATGGTTGCCACTGCACTTCCCCATTTTCAAGTAAAATGTTGTAATAATGAACTAAAGTTTTTGGTGATATTTTTAGAAAAACTTAATTTTACAATTTTTTTCTCTTTTGTTTACCTTTTATAGTTTATTCCTCACTTGTATGAAAAGGAGTTTTGTTCCATCAGTTCAGTTATTTTTCTTTCTATTTAAAGTTCAACTTTATGATTGCTACAAAGAAGCCTATATATATATGTAAAGGATGTAGTAAGAATTTGTTGAGTGGAAACCTCATTTGTTTAGAAGAAACAAAACAAAATATGTAAATTTTGTGTTTAAATTTGAAAAGCAAAGTATAAATTGCCTCATTTTGTCTTAATCTTTTTTTAGTAGAATTGTTTAATTAGGATGTATACTCAATAAAAATATTAGTCTTGTGTACTTTTTATATTTCAGTATCACTTGGATATTGTTAACTACTGAATAGTTCCCCCTTTTCCAAATGAAATTCAAACTAATAAAAAATTTTTTAATGTGTTAAGAGTTGACATTTTTGAAAAGTGAACTTACTATCAAAACTTTTGGCTATGTTTTAGAAAGAAAAGGAAAAAAAAAAGGAAGAGAAAAAGAGAGAAAAGGAGCCAGAGAAACAGGCAAAAGCTGTTACTACAGAAAAGGTAAAATTCTTTTATTAAAACAAAAATCTATAAAGATTGCCATCTTTATATAAGTGCTTGTGTATTAATGGCTTGTATACTTACGTATTAATTACGATATGCAAATAACGGTTCAATAAGTATTTATTATCACGTGCTAATAAGCATGTCCTTCTTGCTGATTGTGATCAGTTATCTGTGAGGAGGTTTTAAAAAGTTTCAGTTCCATTACTTTCATGAACTTTTGAAGCCTGCCTGTATGTGAATACAGATTTTGCTAGTTCCTCAAGGGCACGTAATCTCTTATTTATGACCTAACAGATGATGGTTTTAGTTCCCATGTATTTACTCTTATCAAGGAAATAGCAATGTCAATAAGGTAACTTTATAAGTGAAGGTTTACAAAATGAAGAGATATACCTTGAAGGGATCATGAGAGAAGACTTCATACTGAACATAAGCATTTGATCTAGGTCTTGAATTTAGGCAGAAATAAAGTGGAGGCAGGAGTCTGCGAGTTGGAGAGAACAGCCTGAGAACAGGCATGGAAACTGGAAAAAGACAAAATACTTTAGAAGAATATTGGAAGCTATGTATAGAAAATGGTGGTGGTTATGTGACATGGAGTCTCCCGCGGAACAGCTGGTAGTTTCGAACTGCTGACCTTGAGGTTCGCAGCCCGATTCGTAACCACTACGCTACCAGAGTGTGAAATATAAAATTAGATTGAGTTCAAATTCTAGGTATCTTAAATTCCAGGTAGAAATATTTATTCCTTTTCAAAGAAAGTCAGTGGATAGCATTTTAAAGTTTCTAAAGCAGGTGATGTGTGCAATTCAGAAGCATACATTTAGAAGATTAATTTGTCACTGGCATGCAGAATAGTTGGTGGAGTAAGGAGCACAGATAGATTTTTCTGGTTGGATTGGCTACATCATTATGGTGATTTGGATTTGAGTGCATTTTATCTTTCTAGTATGTTGTTGTTGCTATGTGCCGTCCTGTCGTTTCTGACTCATAGTAACCCTATATGAGGTTTCCAAAGAGCAGCTGGTGGGTTTGAACCAGCAACCTTATGGTTTGGAGTCCAGTGCTTATCCTATAGAGCCACACCAGGAGTCCTCATACTAGCATAGTAAAGGAATTTTCAGTACAGGGAGCATACTTAGTTTTAGTTGTTGAAATTTTTAAAATGGGCTTTATTAGAATAGGAACAAATTACACATTACAGAATGCTTACAGTTAACGTGTACAATGGGTGGTTCTTTCTCTGTCATTATTGAAGTTGTCTTTATCCTCAAAAGTTACAAACTCTCAATATTTATGATGCACTACTTATCCTAAAAGGAGCTCTGGTAGCGTAGTGGTTACAAATTGGGCTGTGAACCTTAAGGTCAGCAGTTCAAAACTACCAGTTGCTCCATGGGAGAAAGATGAGGCTTTCTGCTCCCGTAAAGATTTACAGGCTCGGAAACTCTGTCCAGGGTCACTATGGGTCGGAACCGACTTGACGGCACTTAACAACAACAACTTATCCTAAAATGCCTCAATCGTTGGTAGAATGATCAAAACCATCTATCATCTGACCATTTACCTGCCTTCCTGCATTCTAACTTCATTCTTTACACTAGCCACAATTGTCTACTGTCATATAAACTCATTTTCTATTCTCCTTTCCACCTCTCTGTTCACATAATTGCTTTGGCAAGAATGTCCTTCCCTCTTTTCATACATTACCTGAAGCTTACTTATTCCACCTTTTCCATGAAGCCCCTCTTAACATCTCAACTGGTTTTGCTTTCCCTTCTTCAAAATTCTGATGACAGTGCCACATGTTTGATTTTATTACTTCCTACCTGAGTTATTGTTTAATTGTATTGTTATATAAGTTTTCTTATCTAATGTTGTCACATGCCATCGAGTTGGATCTTACTCAGAGCTATGTAGGTTCTCTGAGGAGCAGCTGATGGGTTTGAACTACCAATCTTGTGGTTCACAGTCCAGTACTGATCTTACAGCGCCACACCAGGAAGGCATAAATGTTTTGTTTAATAAGATTTATATCAATCATGTGAAAGCCAAGTCTTTGTGTACTTAACAGTTTTTTTTTGTGTGTAGTAGATAGCTTAGGATAAATATATAAATATTGATCAGTTTGTTGATGCTTTACAGCTCATAATACTATTTATGTCTTGATTCTAGGATAATGTTGAACTATTAATAAACAGGTTATTTACTAATAGACAATACATTAAATACCAAAGATTATGTTTCTGTGTGAAATTCTTTGACATATTTCTCTGAAATACTTTTCAGTTCAAGTTAGTTTCTTTGAATATTAATACTATTTATCACTGTTTTAGAGCTAGATAGCAGAACTAAATTCATATGTCTCACCAGTTTAAATTTAGATGTTAAATATTATAATTGTTTTTTTTAAAGGAATGATTAAATAGGTGCTTCTAGTTTTAATTCTCCTCTGAAACTTTCTCTGTAGTGTGAATCAGTACGATGTTGTAAATGAAATCTCACAAGTTCTGTGTTTGATTACAGAGGAATTAATAGGTTTCATCTTTTTGTCTCCAAAAATTTAGTTTGAAAATAAGGTGTTAATGTGATGCCTTACTGTTCTCCTTGACAAGATAAAACATACTAATTTGATTTATTTTCTCTCTTAAAAAATTTCACCATTGAAATACAGTTAGGATTTGATGTGGTGACTGTATGTTTTATAGCCTTGCATATGTAAACAACTGTCTTTTATGAAAATGGGACATAACAGTAACCTCCTTAGTCTCTGGACTGAAGCCTGAGAAAAACAATTGAGGTATATGAATTTTGAGGGCTCTAGCATTTTTCCTTTAGTGTTTCCTATTAGCACATAGATTTAATTGAACCCAATTCAAACCTCATCTGTTTTTCTTTCTCCAATTGAAGAGGTATAGCACTCTGGCTTTTGACAGCAGATGCTTTCTGTGAAAAAAGTCACACAGAGACCAAAATTCAAGTTATTTTCTTACTTGTGTGGTCAAGGTAGTACAGCACTACACGGAGGAAGTTGTAATTATTAAGATTAAACAAAGTGTATGATTTGTTGAATGTAAAACTAATTGTCTACTCTCTTTACTTCATTCAAGTCACAATAAACAGTTTTTAAATTAAAAAAGGTAGTAGTACAGCATGTATAAGAAGGAAAATATATTTAAAATGTATCACAATGAGAAAACTGGAAGAAAAATAGCACAAATGAAGCTTTACATATTTTTCTTTATGCTCTCCTTGAACTGATATTTTCTGTGGATATGTGCAATCTATAAAGGAGAAAATTAGTAGTATTAGTAATGAAAATAGTAGAAGTATTAATCACAGTACTAGAATAATTTCATGATCATAATAATTTGTATTATTAATGGTCTTCTACAACATTCTTAAGGAGCTCTGGTGGCATGGTGGTTACGAATCGGGCTGCTAAACTGAAGGTTGGAAGTTCGAAACTACCAGCGTTTCTGTGGGAGAAAGATATGAGGCGTTCTACTCCCATAAAGATTTATAGCCTTGGAAACCCTGTGCAGGGTCACTATGAGTCGGAACCAACACCACGGTACTTAACAACAACAACATTCTTATCAACGGAGAAAAGATTGACATTGTCAAAGACTTCATTCTTCTTGGATCAACTATCAACACTCATGGAAGCAGGAGGCAAGAAATCAAACAACGTATTGCATTAGGAAAATCTGCTGCACAAGACCTTTTCAAGTGTTGAAAAGCAAAGATGTCAGTTTGAAGACTAACATGTGCCTAACCCAAGCCAGGGTATTTTCAATAACCTCATATGCATGTGAAAGCTAGACATTGAATAAGGAAGACCACAGAAGAATGAATGCTTTTGAGTTATGGTGTTGGAGGAGAATATTGAAAGTGCCATGGGCTGCCAATAGAACCAATAGATCCGTTTTGGAAGAAATGCAGCCAGAGTGCACCTTTGAGTCCAAATTGGCCAAACTTCATTTCTCATACTTCAGACATATTGTTAGGAGTGACCAGTCACTGGAGAAGGATATCATGTTTGGTAAGGTGGAGGGTCAGAGAAGGAGAGGAAGACCTGCAGCAACATGGATTGGTCAAGTGGCAGCATTGATGGACTCAAGAGTGGCAAGAATAGTGAGGTTGGCCCAGGATGGGGCAGTGCTTTCATTCTGCTGTGCATAAGGTCGCTATGAGTCGGCACCAACTCAATGGCACCAAACAACAAAAGCAACAACAGATGTCTTCTGTATGTCCTGATGTGGCACTGTCGATTAAACACAGGACTGCAAGGTCGATTTAAACTACAAAGTTGGCCATTCAAACTCACCATTCACTCCTTGAAAACTCTATACTGAGCTACTGTGGTTGAAATTGACTCGATAGCACTTAGCAACAACAACATATGTCAGAGTCGTTTAATATACTTTCGAAACATGTCATAATTTAAAATAAAAACAAAATCAGGTATGTAAAGCATCTAGAACAGTATTTTCCATACAGGATTTTGGTTTTTTGCTTTATATTTTAAATTATGACATATTGCAAAATATATTAAACTTCATTTGCTAATGGGGCACAACTCAAAATTAAGAGAAACAGCTGTAAACATCCATTGAAAATCAGAACATGGGATGTACAAAGTATGAATCTGGGATAATTGGAAGTTGTCAAATGAAATGGAATGCATAAACATTGATATCTTAGGCATTC